CGGCGACCGTAATTAGTTAGCGCCATCTACTCTGGATTAACGGGAAGGCAGAAGAAAGATTTGCGAGCATGGTATCTGGTGAACGGAAACGTTCTTTCACGTAACCAACGAGATGGAGCCGCAATTGCGTTACACTCCATAGAGACAACATACAGATTGCGAGTGCATTTGCGTACCGCATATATCGCAATCACGCAAATATGATTTCTGTAAATAAAGACTACACAATGGGCCACAAAACAAATACAAAAATTACATTCGAATAATCTTCTAATATCTAAAATTAAGTTTCATCCTAAAATTAAGGCATTATACGAAAAAGAATTAGAGCGAATTGTATTAATAACTATGCAATTTGCTCCAAAAGAGAAACGATAATTTAACGAATTAAATATACTGATTAACTAAAATTACAAACTCGTATGTTGTAATCGCATTAGTCGTATTTCAGCTTTGTCATAATTTTATGTTATTAGAACACTGCAGGCGCGCGTTACGCTACTTGTTTCCTGATGCCACGTATTTTTCAATAGATTATAGTCGAAAACCATAATTATTTGCTTGAAAATTTATTTAAACTTCAATTTGTAGATTTTTATTTTTGTAAAATTGTAGATTTTTAATTTAAAAAATTTTAAATCTCTTAAATTTTAAAGATTAAATTGTATAATTCAAATACACATTTAAATTAAAAAAGTCTTTAGATTTAATTTAATGAATATTGATTCTTTATTCTTGTTAACAGCTGTTGATAAAATGTGTAGTAATTCATTCAATATACGAACAATCAAAATACACGTTGACAGCTCACGATATGAAGTAATGTATATGAGATGCATTGAGATTAGCAATTAGCATCACAGAAAAGGAACAGTAATTAGATGCGAATATCAAGTTACGTCTCTTTTTTTATATAAGAGAGAAATTAATATAAACATTTTATGTTAAGTAGATTAAATATAATAGATTAAATAATTAAATTTATAGACTTCTATGGATTTTTACACATTGACCTACATTGCCAATATAAGATTTCCTGACGTCACATATTGAAATTGTATGTTTTTAAACAATTTTGAGATTGCTGTAGACTCTTGTAAAATTTATCTTTGTTAAAATTAATGCTTTTCATTTATAAATTATTTCAATAATGCTGAGGATGATCCAATTGAAGGTCAAAACATATGTTTGAAATTATGTATATCTAATTGAATTATATATAAACAATTTTGCGCACTTATATCTTGCGAGGCTTTTGTGCTCCTTTTTATTTCTTTTATTTATATCTAAGCTGTTATTTAATCATTATTTTAAATAATTAAATTTCTAATTAAAATATAGGTATACAGATATGTTTGTTTAATGCCGTAATTCAATGTTCTCAGAGCATATTGCGCTCCAATATCACGACGACATCTGATGCGGTGTTTATAACTTCGAGAGCAGAATCATCGCGGAGTAGCACCATGCGATCATAAAATTTTAATCGCGACTGTCGGTTACAAGTCACGTATTGTCAGAAGTAGACGCGCTTGCATGTATCCTCGGGTTATCGAGTTACCCGGCTTCTCTTTGACACCTACACGGCTACACGAAGAAGCGGTGGCCTATTCCGGTTCACCTTGACGATCGAAGATAAATAACGACTTTGCTCCGCGTACTGGAAAGGGTACACTCCTCCCTCTTTTAAAAGCGACACGCTCGCAAACACCGGTGTCGCGTTGCATCGACCGTGAGTTGACGTTACCGCAATTGTTATGCCCGCTATTAGACCGCTTGTCAAATGCGTTTTGATGGAACTTAAGGCTCGATGGGGCTAACTCGACACTCGGCTCGACCTCCCGCCGCGCCGTGCAACAGTCGGCGACCATGAAGTAGCCTCCACGTAACTCTCGGATGACGATAGAGCGTAATATGCGTCGAAAAATCTCGACAGATCACCCACGCGGTAGCACCGTTTCTGTCAATAACGCGATGCTTCCTCCAATTGTGCGCGACAGCGAGACGGTAATATCGGCGCTCTTACGCGTTATGTGCGATGTAATTTACATTTCTGCAGCTGCGTCATAGTACCGTATGTAATCTAACATCGAACGAGAATGGGCATTAGAATTTCGAGTGTAGGTGTGAGTGAAGATCTCAGCGGGATTCTTGCGGTAGCTGCAGTTGCGATTTAATCGTAAACATTAATCGCTTAGAGGCATTATTTTTTAGATAGCGTCTAAAAATATTATGTTGACGATTATTAAATAATCTTGAAAAACTCTTGATAATTAAAATAATATCCTGCGAAATTTATTAAAACAGATTGCAAGGCGAATTTATTATGGAAATCCGATGCTAAATGTTACGATTAATAATATCTAAGTGAAGATAATCTCGTCGTTAAATTTTCACCAAGAGAAACTGCTCTCTCGCAGCTGTTGACTTTATTAAATACGAGAATCAAACGCACCACTGTCATCGTATTTACGACGCGGAGGCCTCGGATGCATACGGAGATCGCGAATGTAGAACGCGGATGGATATTCGCGAGGCATGTCAACACGAACTTTCATAGCCGATCCGCAATTCGCTAAATCGTACAAAGACAAACGGGTGAAACTAGGGAGCCGGTAAACTACAACGTCGCCGGCACACTTACGCAGAGGCGCAACATTTCAATCTTCGGCTTGCAGTTGTCGTAGTTTCCGCACCGCTCCGACAATTTGATGTATTGCACCGTTGTTGTTGCCGCGACGATGTATCGCGAATAAAGAAAGAAAAAAAAGCAGGCATGCGTAACTGTACCAAGCCCTTTCGCAGCGCAAATGACAAACAAACAGGAAACTCGGAAACGATAAAATCGATAAACACACGTCGAACGCACGGAAATCGTATAACACCTCTTCGAAATTTAGGGGAAGTCAGTAATCATATCGGGGATCTATAAAACGCGTCGTTTACTCGCGATTATCCACACCTATAACTGACGTCACGGCATTTCCGCGAAATTATTGCATTGCATAATGCAATCGCGTCAATAACGAGGCCACTGAATCCAGAGCAGTGATATTTTTTGTACAAGCATTTCGAGATCTTATCGCTTAACATCGTTTTATTGCAGCATCGTTTTTTTTCTGCAGCAACGTAATTAGTAATAAAACTAAACTAATCTATCTCGTACGTTCGAACCAAATTAATTTCATAACGCTCGCACTTTAGTTCGATAATTGGCAAAAAATATTTTCTTATTAAAAAAAAGTTAAAATTAGTAAGTGTAAATAATTTCTAAACCTCTCTAAAGCTCTCCATATGAATTCTCCGGAGTCATGCTCTGTATATTGGTGCGTTTTCAGAATTAAACAGACAGGTACGAGATGCGAAATGCGTGGCAGCAGAAATGATACAAGGACAGAATATGATAAATGAAGGTCAACTAATAAATCATCATTATTTAACGTTATTTCCTTCAAAACAGCACATTCGCGTAAACGTAGAACAGACAGTCGAATTTCACGGGCACGCTGATATCACCTGCTTACTTGTCCACTTCTGTTCGTGGTAAACGAGCCGCTCTATTCGACTCTTTTCATCGCCATAACACTTCCGCTGTCGGGGATCGAAAAAGCAATTGACATGCAAATTTTCGGGTAACACCGCGCCGGCCACTATTGTTGTATTATCCGGCACGGAAATGCGTGATTTCGTATTACGTGTGAACGTTGGTTATGAATGTCACGCGTATCCAAATTCTATAAAAAGTAAATTTTACGCAATAAATTGAGATTTATTGCGTAAAATTGGAAACTCCTAAGCAATACTACATACAAATTTTCGATAAACTGAAAGAAAAAATGAAAAACTGCACAAATAAATGTGTATTTAATAATTACCTAACTGGAAAAATCATGAGTATTCGATATAAAAAGTATACATTTCAAAAAATGAGATAAGCAAAGTAGAACGAAGGGTACGAGAAATAAGATCTGTTGAGTCAAGCGAAAGGGCATACAGAAGATTACCCCATAGTTAATTGGCAATTGAGGCAATTATAGCCTTTAATTGAGAGTTTCTTGATAGCCAAGACTAATCAATAACGAAGAGAATTAAGTAATAAATATAGAGAGTCAATCGACGAAGATGAAAGACTTATATACGTCTCTATAAGTTTTACAATAAAGATTCAACTGTATACATTGTGAAGTGGATGATATATTAATATAACGGCTATTTATAAAAAATATGGTCTATTAAATACTAAAATATCAAACTTAAATTTTATTTCCTAGTATACCTAGACTTTATAGTATGAGATAAAAATTCTTCGGTTTAATGTGCATTCAATCAGATTTATGGAACATGATATATCTATTTTTATTAATCCCACGTTACAAACTTGAGTAGAGTTTCTACTCGCAGATTTAGTGCGCGCAACATCCCGTTGGCTTTGCGGCACGTTTGTCTCTTGAACATTACCTTCTTACACGACGTAAAAATGGCGCGGTAACAATCTTAAAATCTCCTCTAAATTACACCGGAAACGATGTAGAGAGAGATATCGATTTTTCTAGCGTGCTCGCTATCTCAATCGATTCGCGGGAAATGTGGGAAGGCCGGTTTCTCTCTGGCGAATTACGGACGACACTATAAACCTGTTACAGCTTTTACGTCAAAGCCTATTGAAAATATACGGAAAGACGGATAGAAAGTACGTTCTATGCGCTGCACTGCGTAGTGGCAAGTCGATGCAATTTTTTTTCTTTTTAACAACGAAACAGCGGTTTCCATAGACGTGGTAATAAAATGACCACATGACTCGGAGTAATACGTCGATGCTCATGATTTACGCTCGTTATGCGATAACCGAATGACACGCTATCATATTAAGTGACGCTGTGCGCAAGTATGCGTAAACGTAATATTACGGTCTTAGGAAAAAGGAAAGCAACCGGAGATTCGTGGATTATAGACAGCAACGCGAAAACGTACAACAATGTGCTATTTAAAAATTGACTTACCTTCGAGTTGATGATGTCGTAATGCCCCTCCGATACCCTTGAATCGTAAATGCCGCTTAACACCGAGTTTTGCCTCCTGTAAACAATAAAATACATGACTAACTTTAGTATTGATCATGTTGTAAAAATAAATAAAATCATGAACTTTATAGAAAATATTGAAATAAATAAAAAATACATGAATGAATATATATGTTATCGTCAAAACCCATAATCTGTTAAAACTAGGATGGTTGAGTAGACGTAAAATCGAAAACCTATGTGGACAGTACAATTATGGACCTCGTTTCAATTAAATTTAAAACTAGTTTCAACTGGTGAAATTGAGTTTTAACGGTTATGAGTTTTGCGACGATAACGTATATAAAACTACAGAATGTTGATAAACGATTTTGTATTCGCGTATTACTTCTAGGCGCCCCCGAATCTAATCTCGTCAGAGCAGCGTCAATCTGCGGAAACTGTATTCTTAAATTTTCGCAAAACGAAGTCGCCGTATCAGCTGTGTCAGCAGATTTTGGAATTATGCTCGGTGGATTATATACTGTTCGAGACGGCCGGCTTGATAAAGACGGCTCTGATACACGAGTGGTCC